GTTTATTGCCAACATTTGCAGGCAACATAAACTGAAAGTCTACACTAGAGCACCACTGAATGCATAACTTTGGAATCAAATTGACTATATAGTAGGAAACAGAATATGAATAAACGTAATTCAGTCAGTCAGGATTTTTCAGATGCAGACTGTGCAACAGACCATGAATTGATGATGTCAAGTACATAGATTAAACTTCAAAAATTAGTCAAGTGAATATGTTAGCCATATTTTATCTTGAAGTCATACAATCAGATACAAAGATTAATGTAAGGAACGTATTCAATTACACTTTCATGTGGGGAAAAAAACTTGAGAAGTTAGATAAGAAAACAAAAATGATACACAAACAGATGGTGTATCCCTAGTTGGCTGGGGAATTCAGAGCTGAAGTCCACACATCTTGAAAGTTGCCACGTTTGAAAAGACATGATCTTGATCTAGAACAGAGCTGTCAAACTTGCATCGTCACGTGACATATCGGGACTTTTCCCCCCTTTGCTAAACTGGGTGTGGGCAGGACCAGCGCATGACGCATCTGGCTTGTGGGCCGCGAGTTTGACAGCCCTGATCTAGAACCTGCATTTGCACAGTTCCTCATCTGAATCTTGATTTGACTAGATCAGTTTGGGTAATTCCAATCTTGTTGTAGGACAACTTTTGGATCCTGTGATTGAAAACTTTCCAGCGTTTCAAAGGCTGTACACAGCCACGTTCCCCGATAATGAGCTTCCTCGCCCATAACAAAAAAAGTGGTGGGAAGTGAAGCCTTTCAAAAGTGAGCTATCATTGGGGAAGTGACAGCGTGTGTGGGAATCTGCCAGTCTCACTCGGTTTGTGACGAACGTGAAAAATGGGTCATGTGTAATAAGCAAGATTTTATTTCATTAGATTGGCTTCCCCCATCTCCCGAGCTGATGTTTTGCTCTCACAGCAATTAGAGAGGTTTTCTGGGCTGCCTTTCCCTCCTGCGCCCCCCCCCCCCAACTTGCTGGAGTCTGAAGATTGGGGCTGCCAAGATTTGCAGGAGAAAGACAGAGGCAGCAATATTGCCAGCTAGATGTGTACTACTCTGCTGGGAGCAATGAGGTTGGCAAGAAAATCTACAGAAGCTCAGCTGATGATTTCCTAAGAAAAGGAACTTGTAATGAAGAGGTGGGCAACAGGAGGCTCCTCGGAGGTGTGCAAGATTCTGAATCCCCTAATATCCTTCCCCTCCCCTCCCAATTGGTATTGTAGATAAATGCCATTTTAAAGCAGAAAATATTTGAAAACTACCACAAAAGGGTATTTTTTTATAGTTAAAAGAATTCACCAAAACATTGCACAAAAACCCAGGAAGAAAAAATAGAACTCAAGGCCTGCTCAGTATGGGACATACTCTCACCTGTTATGCATTATTGGCACCAAATGGCTGCTCGCATCTGTTATAACAATGGGGAACATTCTCTCTCTCTTTTCCTGTAAGGGTTTCAAGCATGCATTGCCTGGAGTGGAATCTCTCTGGCATTCTAATTCTCTGAGTTCCAATAATAATGTAGCCCCATGCAAGCAGAGGAAGATGCTTGGAGGAGGCCTCAAGGCTGTTGATGCATGATTGTTTTAAAGATTAAAAATGTCTTGACAATACTACCTATTTCCACATAAAACATAGGTTTGCTTTGTGAGGGCCAAGCCCACTCATTGCCCCAGATTACACAGAATTTCAGGCAAACTTTCCTATCAGCAATATAACATAATTTAAATACATTTGTGTTACCCAAAAGTCTGACAGATAAAATAACCTCATTCCTTTATTAATATGCACTTTATATTAGTGGCTTTTGGTCAAGCACATTTGATGTTTTGAAAATATGATGGGGGAGCTCTAGCAAAGGGGTCCCTCATTCACAATTTTTTTTTACTACAGGGACATAACTGGTTGCAAAGCCCAATTTATGGAAATAGCACTTGTCTCCTCATAAAACCTTCTATTTCCAGAAGATATTGTGTATTCTGCTTATTCTTTCTCCTTCTGTCTAGTCAGATGGATGTACTTACAAATAAAGTGCTGTGCTATAGCTCCATTTTTTATTTTCTGAAAAAGTGTTCCTATCTTATTCTCTCATAAATTGCATCTCCACTGCATGCCTTTCTCTGCCCTTCCACTCCCACTCAAACCCAGGGTGGCTTAGCAGTAGAGAATAGACAACAGAGGCTCAGTGTGAACAGAAATCATTCCACAGGGCTGGTGCTGCAATGGTACAACCGCCATTCCTGCCATCAGCTCCCCTCATTTCCCTGGAGTAGGGAACAATTAACAGCTTTTTCTGAAAACAGCTGATCAGTTGAGCTAATTTTCGTTGAAAGAGGTGGACCAATAAGCAACTACATGCCAGGAGATATAGATCAATATCAACAGATTGAATTGCATATCAAAACCTACATAAAGCCAATGGAGGACATGCAACGCTGATGTTATACGTTCTGATAGCTACAATGTGTCAGTCAATGATCAGCTGCATTTTGTATTAATTGCACGTTTCTCAGCTATTTTAGAATGCATTACGATTTAGGCAGGTAGCAATGGGGACATGTATTACTGAGTGTAGTAAGATCATTATGGTCCAAATAAAAATGCAATTGATGAAGAAACTAGGTGAAGATTCTCTTGGCCACTGCCTTCAATTACTCATTCTACTCCTACAGTGCCTAGGATGTTATCCAAGTCACATACCTGCTCTCAGGGGTGGTGCCTTCCTTTTGAGAGACAAGAGGAATCATGATGGATCAAGAGTGACTCCATCTTGTTAATATTTAACTTCAGTTTATTACTCCCCATCCAGACCCTCTCATTCTCCTGACACCAAGACAAGACCAGCACTGCATCACTGAATCAGCATGGGGTGGTTAATGTATAATTGAGCATATTAATGTTACTGAATCCTGAACAGAAGGATGATCTCTCCCAGTGGCTTCATTTAAGATCAGGGATATTAAACTTGCGTCGTCACATTGTCGTCACGTGACATATTGTGACTTTCCTCCCCTTCGCTAAAATGGGGGTGGGGTGGCCATCGCCTGATGCATCTGGCCCGTGGGCCATGAGTTTGACACTCCTGATTTAGATCATAAATAATAGGGAAGTAAACTTGAACGTTGTGACACACATTAGGTGTGTGGCCACTGAACTGAACCACAACTGCCACTGACTGGAACCATTCACTCAGGAAGGAATTGAGCCATTGAAAAACTACCTTCATCTCTAACCTAAGCAAGTGGTCCAGTAGGATACCATAATACTGAAAGCCACTGAGAAGTTTAATAGGACCACAAGAGATGCTTTCCCCCACCCAGGTGTTGTGGCCTGCCAGCTGCCAGCAGAGCTGGTGGCAGACTTGGACGATGAGGATGTTGGGGAGGAACTTGGGCCAGTCTTGGAATCTGGGGAAGGCTCTGATGGATGCTGTGCGTTGGAAGCAGAGATAGAGTCAAGGCCGTCGGACATTTCCCAGCTGCCTTCGGAGTCAGAGATAAGTGGGGAAGAAGAACAGCTGGGGCCTGTTCCAGATGCACGTATGTGCAGAGCTGTCAGGAGAGGAGAACAACTGAGGAACAGGGGCCGACTTGGAAAGAAAGGGACATGTGGACACTGAATGGCCCTTCCCTGGCTGGGGAATAAATAGAAGCAAAAGGGGAATGGTTGTTGCAGGAGACAACAGTTCATATTTTTTTGCTTATAGTGGTGGTTCGTGCCTCAGAGACTTATTGCCAGGAATTAATTTTCAGCTTTGTGACTGGAAGCTCTCGGCCTGGCAATTATCCAAGGACTGATAAGGTCTGTTATTGCAATTCACCCTTGGAAGGATTATTGCCTGGACTTTTCTGTGTGTGAATGCCTTTATTTCACAGTAGTTAAATAAAGAGGGTTTTTTTCGCAAGTCTGTTTCTTGGTTCTGCTAAGGCTGGGTCAGAACACCAGGTTTCAACAAGTCATTTACCAGTGTAACCAATGCCATTTCAATCACATGCCCCATGGCTGAAACTGGACTGAAATGATTCAGATAATCCACTTTCTCTAGAGTCCTTTGCAGCTGACTTTCCAGGGAAAGGCTAACAGGTTTACAGTTGTCCAATATGGCTGAATCCACGGAAGGCCTCTTGAGGAGCAGGAGTATCACAGTCTCTTTCAAGGCTGCAACCTTGACACCTTCCCTTGCCCACTAAACAACCAGGAAAGACATGGACTTACAGCACAGATGGCAGGAGTTATATTAACTCTGGCCACCGATTGGAACACGAAGGCCAAAAAGAAACTCAGTTAATGACGAAGATAGTTGTCATTACATAGTCGTCATAGTCTAGTCACTACATTAGACTCCAAGGCTCTGGCAAATCTGAGTGACTTTATTGAAGTGTTGTGCACAATAATCACAACAGCCCAGCAGGAGACCTTCCTGCTCAACTATCTCCAACAGGAAGTTTTCAATCCTAAATAGGCTGCTGAATTGCACCCGAATGAAGCAATTAAGGGAGAAGAAATATGTATACCTCATTTCCCTTACTGATCTGATATAGGTTCAAACTTGAGTTTGTACCATTTTTAAAATCATTTTTCTCTACCTGCTCTTTGGGTATAACTTCTGGTGCTGTACCTCTTGAAGCTCCTTGATAAACTGAGGAGCTACTCATGATTGAGGAACAAAAGAAGTCTGGCTGAGCATGATCTTGTCAGGAACCTGGATCACCTCTTGTTGCCAGTGGCCAACTAGAGAACTAAAGAATGCACCCCACCCCCATCCCGATCACTAGGAAACTCCTTAAGCTCCCACTGGAGTCCATCCATATCCATGGGACACAACGTGTCATAAAAGTCATATTGAATACGAGACACAGGAGGTGTTACACCAAATCCAAAGAGCAGCTATTTTCAAGCCAAATCATGAGTCACAAATCAAAACTGGCAGTTTTAGGCAAAGCTAGAGAGATGATATTTTTTGGGGGGGGGGAATTCAACTTACCGGCATTCAGATGACATTCTTTAATTTGGAATTGAAGTTCATTTTCATTTGGGATGTCTTTCCACGTGGCGAGGAAAACTTGGCGTTCTACAGGATCAGAAACCGTAAAACTGAGTTTTCCATATTTCTATATGGCTTTCCATATTTCTATAGAGAGATGTTTGAGACTCCCCTCCCTCCCCCACACTTTAAGGGCTAAGTGATGTAACAGCCCAAATATTAACAACAGCACTCTCTTCCAGCATATTTTTTGTAGAGCTTCAGAGATTGCATTGGGGAAGGGGAGCAGACTGTTCCACCCCTCAGTATCCCTTCAGGGGGCCATTTTTGAAGCGGCCACAATTTATCAGATGGCACCATGCAACCTAGGGATGTTGAGGGGTAGAGCAGCTTGCTTCCTTTCTCCAACAGAAGCTCTGGAGCTCCAGAGTTCTACAAAAGGAAAGTGAGTGATTGATGACAGGGATGGGGGGTTGAGGAGGAAAATATAGATTGGGAAAGGCCTGTGGGGACGTGGCAGGATGAGAAATGGCCGGTCATAGGGTGAATCTACCCATATGTTGTACTTGTGACCAGGGAGATGCTGCAGCACCTGTAATTCTGAAACTGGGCCATAATTAGCTTTGCTGGGGGGGGGGGGCAATCTATAGTAACTTTGAACAATTGCTAAGTTGACCACTTTGTGTATGTGATTGTTATTTGGCTTTCCTCCAGAGACACATTGTTCTTTTAGTTTAATGAGAGCCTTTTTGGTCTAGTACTTAAGGCAGGAAACTTGTGAGTTCTAATTCCACTTTAGGCATGAAAGCCAGCTGGGTAATCTTGGGCCGGACACCCTTTCTCAGCCCAACTCATCTCCCAGGGTTGTTGTGGGGATAATAGAAGGAAGAAGGTGTGTTGAATATATGCTTGCCATCTTATTTATAAGAATAATAAAGGCAGGAAACAAAATAATTTGTTTTTAACATTTGTTATGTTTCTTATGGATTCCTACCATCAGGACTCACAGATCAATTGAGCACCATGTAAATATATGTAACATAAATAAAGTCTTCCGTGTCTTCCTTTGCTGAATTATAATTTGAAGATGGAATCTGGGATTACAGATTCCTCTCATCCTAACCCTGATCCTCGAACATTGGGCAGGAGTGAAAATAAAGTTTTTCAGATCCAAAACTCCTACCTCCACTTGGCCCAATTATTGTAGGAGTAAAAGGGCAGACTGATTTGCAGTATGTAGTAGAACAACTTTAAAGAGTAATTTAAAAGGTATATGATGAAATAGCTGTCAGAAATCAGCATCCTCATTGTGGGCAAGCAGTGTAGGACTTCAATGGCCAATGGCCATATTGATGGGGGAATTTTGGGAGATGAAGGCCATATTTCCTTGACTGGAGAAAACCAGTTTGGACTCTGTAGGTCCACATAGCAAATGCTGCAGTACTTCATTTATTGTTTGTCCTTTACCTAAGAGAGTGACCGTCCTTCCATGGTACACATCCCATCCCTCCCTTTAATTTCCTCAGGGCCTATTAATAACCAGATATACCACACTCACCCATTTTGCCATCTTCTACGAAAAGCACATTGAGGGGAATAAGACAGCTGAAGTAAAAAACATCAATGTTGTTCTTTACAGCCACCTGCCCCAAAAGAGAAAAATTAATTTGCTATTTTTAAAAGAAAAAAAAGGCAATTTCTCCACCCTGATTCCTAAAAGGTTTTTTAAAAACGTCAGTATGGCATAAATAAATAAATAAAGAATACAAAACCCCTTCCTGGTGGGGAAGGCAAGACCCTCAAACAATAGCACCGCTATTATCTCGTCCAAATAATTCAGAGCCATTAAACCGCAAGCTTGCTTGCTTGCTGCAGAAACCCTTCCATACATATAGGTCTTGTGTGAGGATCCATTTCCTGAGATACTCTTTAAGTACATTTATATTATTTGTATGGATATACACAAGTATACATTCTTTAAAATGCCAAAGTGAGGAAAAAATGTCTGGAATCTGGGCAAGCATTTTGGAGCTAAAGAATTTTAAACTAACTTAAAAAAAACAACAGACTTAGCTTTCCCACTTCTCAGTTGTAAATCAAGGAATGTGGCCAAATCACATTTAGGTGACTTGTTGACATTTACTATATAGCCTGTATCAGAATTAACTTAAAGTAATTCTGACCTGAGGAAAGCACATTTGCACATGGGCGCATTTTAGAAGATCATCCTGAACTGGGCAGAGGTTCTGAGGAACATTAGCATACTCAGCATTATCATACACATACAGCAATGGCTGCATAATTAAATCTGAGATCTCCAGCTTGGAAGAGGATTGGGAACAAACATTCAGAATGCCAACCCGGATTTTGTAAGGACTGAATCTGGAAGTGCTGAGAGAAAGCCCGTCTATATCTTTTCCAACCTCTTTGACAGGGAATGTCTAAATTGGCATCGGAAGTTTTCTGTCCCTTGCCACTGATGAGTGTTCTGGGCACCCAGCAGGAATAGAAAGAGTAGAAGCTGGCATTCAGATATGATTGGAAGACAAGCAGAAGAAAAACAGCGTTTATTTTTCAAATAATCCTAAATCAGTATGTGAGGATTTATTTGGAATCAATTAGCACAGCCTGCTAATTAATTCCTTCATGGAGACTGCAAGTTGGGTCATTTCTGGCTGCTTCTCATTTTCTCCGAGTCTCGGCTAAGAGACAGGGCAAAAATATTCTCCTGCAGACCAAAGAAAAGCTGGTAAACCTGAACCACAAAGTAGCGCCACTGTTCTCTTTAAGGTAGGGCCATGTAGGTTTTCCCTTCAAGATGTGTTTTAATTAATTATTTAGGCTTCCGGCAGCAATAGAAAAAATGATATGGTGACAACATTGGAATAGGGAGATCAAGATTTTCAGCTCAACCAAATTTGGTAATTGTGGTGCACAAAATATACATTTATGCTCATTTTGAGCTTTACATCTAGAAACCTGAAAAATTATACTGCCAAAAAAAAGCCATTATACCATCATTAAGCCATCAACTTGGTATATACTAGGGATTTAATAGCTCTGCCAACATCAGTACTGCCAATGATTTCACCATGATTTTAGGGAACCTGCCTCAAATCAGGTTTATGCTGTCCTGCTTTTGATTGCAACTGCTATATCATTCTCAATGGGAAGCCAGGCAGTAAGGGGGCTTGAAAATATCTGTAAGTAGTCTAGAGCAGCGTTTCTCAATCTCAGCAACTTTAACATGTGGCTGTGGTGGTGCAGTGGTTAGAATGCAGTATTGCAGGCTAACTCTGGATCTGGATCCGTATCTGGATCCGTTCCAGTCGGGCTTCAGGCCCGGGTACAGCACGGAAACGGCATTGGTCGCGTTGGTTGATGATCTCTGGAGGGCTCGGGACAGGGGGTGCTCCTCTGTCCTGGTCCTGTTAGATCTCTCAGCGGCTTTTGATACCATCGACCATGGTATCATGCTGCACCGGTTGGAAGAGTTAGGGGTGGGAGGCACTGTGTTGCGGTGGTTCTCCTCCTTTCTCTCTGACCGGTCGCAGTCTGTGTTGACAGGGGGACAGAGGTCGACCCCGAGGCCCCTCATATGTGGGATGCCGCAAGGGTCGGTCCTCTCACCTCTCCTGTTCAACATTTATGTGAAGCCGCTGGGCGAGATCATCCGTGGTTTCGGGGTGGAGTACCATCAGTACGCTGACGACACCCAGCTGTACATCTCCACCCCGGATCACCCCAACGATGCCCTTGAAGTGATGTCCCAGTGTCTGGAGGCCGTACGGATCTGGATGGGGAGGAACAGGTTCAGTCTCAACCCATCCAAGACCGAGTGGCTGTGGTTTCCGACGTCCCGATATAGTCAGTTGATGCCATCACTGACTATTGGGGGCGAATCATTGGCCCCCACGGAGAGGGCTTGCAACTTGGGCGTCCTCCTGGATTCACGGCTGTCTTTAGAAGAGCACTTGACGGCCGTGACCGGGAGGATTTTTCATCAGGTTCGCCAGATTCGCCAGTTGCGTCCCTTTCTGGATCGGGACTCGTTACGCACGGTCACTCATGCCCTCATCACCTCCTGCCTGGACTATTGCAACGCTCTCTACATGGGGTTCCCCTTGAGGAGCACCCGGAGGCTCCAATTGGCGCAGAGTGCAGCCGCGCGGGTGGTAATGGGAGCGACATGGCGCTCCCATGTAACACCTCTCCTGTGCGAGCTGCACTGGCTCCTGGTGGTCTTCCGGGTGCGCTTCAAGGTTTTGGTTACCACCTTTAAAGCGCTCCATGGCTTAGGACTTGGTTATCTACGGGACCACCTACTACCACCAATAGCCTCCCACCGGCCAGTACGCTCTCATAGAGAGGGACTCCTCCAGGTGCCGTCAGCCAAACAGTGTCGACTGGCGGCCCCTAGGGGGAGAGCCTTCTCTGTGGGGGCACCTACTATCTGGAATGAGCTCCCCCCGGAGATACGGAGGATCCCGGATCTGCGCACCTTCTGCCGTGCTATGAAGACCTTTTTATTCCATCAGGCAGGCTTGGCCTAACCTCTTCCCTTCTTTAAATATCTAAATTTTAATCTGTTTTTAAATTATTGGGGTGTTTTAATCTGTCTGGGCCAAAATGATTTAATTTGATTTTATCTGGTTTTTAAATTTTTTGTATCTATGTATTTTACTGTTGGCTGTTCACCGCCCTGAGTCCTTCGGGAGTAGGGCAGTATACAAATCAAATAAACTAAACTAAACTAACTCTGCCGACTGCCAGTAGTTCGATCCTGACCAGCTCAAGGTCAACTCAGCCTTCCATCCTTGTGCGGACCCAGATTATTGGGGGCAATATGCTGACGCTGGTAAACTGCTTAGAGAGGGCAGTAAAGTACTATGAAATGGTGCATAAGTCTAAGTGTTCTTGCTATGTGTGGACTTCATCTCCCTGTCAACTCTGAAGCTGACCTGGCGGTGGCCGTTTTCCTTTCTGTAGTTTTTTTTTCTATCGGGATTTCTTTTCACATGGCTTTAGGCTTGACACAGCCTGGACCTGAGGGGGGAGTAGTGATAGCTGGGGTTTTGTAGCCAAAACAAAATAGTTCTCTTATTTTGGACATTGCAACTGTTGGCTGGCCAGAGGAGGAAGAGAGAAGTAACCAGGCAACCAGCCAGCACCCAGATTGGACAATGTGACTTATTGTTTGGGAGAACAGGAAACTTTTTCACTTTTTAATGAGGTGGAAAGCGCGGGAACTCTCAGAGTTGGCTTTCCACCAGTTTGTATCAAGATGATATCTCCTAATAAAACTGTTCTCTGCCTCAGAGTTCTGTTTGCAATGGGTGTATTACTTGGAACCTCGACACTCCCAGAATTCCCAAGCCATCCATGGTATTGAGGGAATTCTGGGAGTTGAAGTCTACACATCTTCAAGCTGCTGAAATTGAGAAACACTAGTCTAGAAAAAGCATTGTGGAATAGGCAGAATTATGCATGAAAATCAATGCAGAAGACATACTGAGTCAAGAGGTTTAAAACCCAAGATAGAGAGTTTCATTCCCCATGCAACTCTTTGTTAAGTAAATGTAACTAAGTGACAAGGTAGATTTGCACATCCAGCCTTACATGCTACAATCAGCTCTGAGCCACTCTCCCTAAGAGACCTTTTGCTGCCCCATGAGCTCACGTTCAAATTGCCAAGTGCTCCACAAGAGCTTTCAAGGACATATTTTTATCCCCTTTGACTGCTTTAATCAAACATGTTTCAGTAGTTTTCAAAGTGTCTGCCATCCAGAAGCTTTTCCTGCCTAAAGGCAATTGCCAAGGAAATCTTGAACTACCCTGCCACAAAATCTAGGCATGCTCCAATGTTTTATTAAGGCAAGATCTTCAGGATCTTATTATTTTTGGGACTCAATCCTAGTATCCTTAGACAACAGATTTGCAAGATGAATTCTAAAATACGAAGGGTAAAGCATTAGAAAGCAACAGTGCTACATCTTTAAAATCAGAGTAAGATTACTATAGATATTTTTAATATTGATCTTAAAATGTCACTATTAAATGTTTTTACAACGTTAAGTGTTTGGGATCAATATATATGTTTTATTTAAAATTGCCAAATGCATTTTTTAATGTCAGACTTCTGATTACATTACTTTTCTGGATTTTAGTTTCACTTAATTTTGGGTAAAGAGATAATGCACTCATTCATTATGAGTAAAAAACAACAACTGTCCTTTCTTTGCTACTGAATTTGGGATGGCGTTATTTTCTACTTTCCAATTATGACTTTGCTTTCTTCAACTTTATTAACAAGTCACTAAGAAAACTTACTACTATACTTTGAAAAACAGAAAGCAAGGAGCCAGGAAATTTCCACAGGGAAGGAATTCAACTACCATGCTGTCATCAACAAGAGTAACTTGTAAGTATTGGATATTTTATTTTATTTTATTTATTTTATTTTATTTATTTGTCGAGTATGTATTAGATAATATATATAAGTATAAGCATGAATTGAATACATAAAATGAATACAATTAAAGGGAACATTAGGACAGGGACGGTAGGCACGCTGGTGCTCTTATGCACGCCCCTTACAGACCTCTTAGGAATGGGGTGAGGTCAACAGTAGACAGTCTTAGGT